TGCTTGCAGTGCTGCGGCAGACGCTTCGATGAGCAAGCGTTTGATCTCTCGCACAGCTTGCTCCACCTAAAGGGAGTCGATTTAATTGACTGCACCAACACGCAATGAAACGTCCTCACCCTGTATTCCTCGTTGGACTCGATCAGCAGATGGAGTTTGGGTGGTCCTTCCAGAGGAGGCTCCTTCCCAGATTCGTAATATATACCTGTTACAATCAGGTCAAATTCAGATGCTGAGACGATGATGCTTCTGGACAAACCTTTGTTGGTCACTGATGCGCCTGTCATATCGATAAGCTGTCGCAGGGAAAAATATAAGTATATGACCGAAAACCAAACACGAGACTGAAATCAACACACCTGAACCATAGTTTCCTTGTTGGTAACCCTCCATCTGGCCTTCTGTGGATAGTCATTGATGGGTATGATCGCGTGGAAGTCTGTAGAGTCGAGGTTTGCTTTCCTGAGACCACTTTCGTCTGCTTGGATCTGGGACTGCAAGACCAGCCTCGTCGCCTTCATCTGTGCATTCAGCTTTGCCATGACACTGAGGGCTTGCTTGTGTGCGGCTGTGTCTTTCCCTGCACGCGCAGCAGCATCCTGAGCAGCTTTGAGTGATGCCTGAAGCTTCTCCTCTTCCTTTGCATGTGCGAGTCGCCTGGCAGCTGCAGCTGCTCCGGCCACCCCAAGTAAGCCCTTCGAAGAATCGGGAGCGGGACCACGCTTGATTTCGACTTTGAAGTTGCCGAATGTCATATCATCGCCAGCAGCAGTAGGGGTCTTGACGGCAGCTTCATCCACTTTCTCTTCTTCGGGTTCACCGTAGGCTTTCCGCTCAGCCCGATCCTTAGCCTCACGCTCCTTATCGAGCCTATCAAGGCCTTTTCCACCAAATCCTGAGCCTGCGACTTGCGCCTTCCCAGATTTGACCTTTTCCAAGAAGCCTGATGACGTAATAAGCATAAATCACGAATACAATAAAGCGAAACATACCGTTGGCCAATTCCTCAAGTTCGCTCGGAACAGCTGCATTACTTGCCTTGAGCGCACGGTAGATATCAACAGAATACCTTTCTTGTTCAGGAGTTATGAATGTAACACATGTGCCTTTATTGCCTGCTCTCCCCGTACGACCAGCACGGTGAACATAGTCTTCCATATGATTAGGTGCGTCGAAATTGATAACAAGCTTAAGCTGTTTGACATCCAAACCACGAGCAGCGACGGAAGTAGCGATGACGATGGGAACAACTCCGGATTTAAAATCGGCAATGGTAGAGTCACGATCAACCTGATCTTTGCCTCCATGCAGGGACATGCATAAGTACCCTTTGCGCATAAGGTCGCGGAGCAAGTTATCAGCAGCCTCCTGTCTGTCGACAAAAATAAGAGTGCGGCACTCAGGGTCTTCGTTGTACATCTGCCCCAAAATATCCAAGAGGCGATTGAATTTGGACTCCTCGGGACGCACTTCGACAATCTGCTCGATCTCCGCGGCAACCACAGAACGCCCACCAACAGTGATTTCAAGAGGTTTCTGTAGGATTTTCCTTGCGAGAGAGTCCATTTGCTTTGGGAACGTCGCAGAGAAGAGCACTGTTTGGCGGTCAGGTCGAACGTTATTGATAATCTTCATGACTTGGGGTTCGAAACCCATGTCAAACATCCGATCAGCCTCATCAAGAACCACATAAGTGACACGCTTAAGGTTTGTCACCCGACCAGAATTGGCAGTGAGGAGGTCGATCATGCGACCAGGTGTGCATACGATGATCTCGGCACCCTTCTTCAGCTCAGCAATCTGGTCCTTGATTGGGGAACCGCCATACGCGCACACAGCCTAATGATGCGAACTAAGATATTATAGATAGATCAAAGACATGAAGAACATACGCGAAGGTTCATCACTCGCAAGAATGGCTTGCATTCTCGATGGATTTGCACTGCCAGCTCGCGGGTAGGAGTCATGACAATAGCAAGAGGGCCTTCCATTTGTTCCAGGGGCCGCTGATCCTTGATGTGACGGAACAAAGGGAGGAGAAATGCTATGGTCTTCCCCGAACCTGTCTTTGCCACACCAATGACGTCGCGACCAGACATAATTGCGGGAATAGCTTGAGCTTGAATGGCGGTTGGTGCAACATAATTCAGGCGTTTGATGACATCCAAACTTTGAAATGCGTCAGCCAAGGACTAAACATGGAAAAGTAGTTGATACCCACCAGCTAGCTGGAAGACCAAAATGACTCCACTTGGTCACTGGCCGCGGGCAGTCAATGCCACGGATTTTGATACCGTCAAGTTCTAGTCGCAATAAGTCAGCTTCCTCGTCTGTCATAGCAGCAATATCTGGAGGAGGAACATAAAATTCCTTCCGGAAGGGTTCATATTTGACACGAGAATGGTCGACGGCGGCGATATCCTTCTTCTTTGCCTTCTTTGCTGCAAGGGCAAGGATGTCTTCAGGATTAAGATCGGTAGTATCAAGCTCGTCTTCCACAACAACGGCTTCCATGACTTCATCCTCCCCATCATCACCCATACGTTCGGCGAGAGGTTTAGAGGATGCGCCTTTGCTGCCGTTCATCTTCTTCAAGTCTTCCTCGTCGACTTTCTTCACTTCAACTGATACATTCGACATGAAGGCATCGAGGGGGTCGACCGCGTCCTCGTCGTCTTCCATGGCGTCTGCAGCCTTGCTCTTGATCGCCTGGTCCATCCTGTTCGCCTCTTCGTCGTCGTCGTCAACTTCCAGGTCGCCAACACTAGCTTCTCCGTCCGCCATGGTCATGTCGACAGCAGGCATTTCGCCAAGGGTCTCTAGCTTCCGCTGCTTGGTCTCGTCTGAATCATCCATGGCCGCAGCGCCCTTTGATACCTTTAAAACTTCAGGTTTGAGGGGAAGACCTTTGAGCCCAAGACCTGTTAGGGCTGCACGGTTCAGAGAAGTCCCAGGTTTGGCTGGCGTTGCGGTCGGAGCAGGAACTAATAAGGCGTGGATCAAGTGGTGTGAAATCATGAAGGGCCCCTTAAATTAAAAACGTGCTCACCTGGTGCAGATTTGCCTGCAAGAGCCATGGCTTTGACTTTAGCCTCGTCGAGAGCCTTCTTAGCTTCGCGGTCCTTCTTCCAAGCCTCCAGCTTTGCCCTTTTCGCCTTGAGTTTTTCATCCTCAGGTGGGGGAGTTTGCGTAGCACCTACGGATGCTTGAGGTTTTGGAGGAGGGGAAAGCGGACGTCTGTCCCGGTCTTTGCGGTCTGTCGAACGGGAGCGCCGACGGTCATCTCTTCTGTCATCTCTGTAACTGTCACGGCGCCTGTCTTCCCTGTGTCTATCATCGCGATACCTGTCATCACGATAGCGGTCTTTATCACGTTCCCTATCCCGGTCTCTCGGGCGATCACGTTCTCTATTATCACGCTCGTCGTCGTATCTCCTGCTAGGTCTTTGGGTATTTCGCCTGGTCGGCGAAGGAGACCGAGGTGAACGATGAGATGGTCTTACCCTTTTGTTTGACGTGTCCGGGGAATATGATCTATCCCTGCGCACCATGCTTGTATACAACGGGTGGTGGTGGTCTTGAAGTATGTGTTGTTTGGTCTTGTTAGACCTGGAAGGTCTTGACTAATAAGTAGGTCACGATCATTCAAAACCTCCGAACGATTATCTTGCTTACCACGACGCTACTACGTGCGAGACTCAGTTCATGGCCAACAACGTATTGGACCCTTCAGCACTTGTTGGACTTCTTCTTGATGTGCTACCACTGACAAACAAGACCTTGACGTCTCCTCATGACGGTTTGGCAGCGCTTGTCCACACAGCCTTCTCTGCACTTTCATTTCGTTTAATTGCAACGGACGACACATCTTCCGCAAAGGAACACCCCAACAACGTCCTTCCTGATGACTGGAACACAAAAGGACTCGTAGATCGTACCTTTCGTTACAGGCATGATCAAAGCGGCCTTGAGTTTGTCGTGAAAGTCATCAAGCTTGGTCAGCGTACATTGATCAGCGCAATTGCAGTCGAAGTGCGTCAGCTTTATGGATTCGAATAATAATATTTAATTGAGAATTTTAGAGTGACAAGTCTGCGTCTCTGGATGTTGCAACGAACGACTTTGTCTCACCGTCATTCTACCCCTATGACGCAGCCAAGTCGGACGCCCCGCCGCTGGTCCATGGCTTCATTTCGTCCAATCGTATCACAGATTTCATATCTCAGCTCAAACTCAAAATAATACAAAAACTTATTCCGGGACTGCGCAAAGAAGGCTATATTGAAGAAACTGAGGATTCATCCAGCAATGCTGGACCCGCTCCCCGTTCGGCGAATCCCCCTCCTGCCCCTCGACGACCAGACTCGCCATCTTATCCAGATGACCCATACTACTTACCGCCCGGTTTGCGACCTCGCAATCCGCTGGAGATCGGTCGTCGAGACCTTGATCCCTTCGGTGGTGTTAACCCTTTCCAGCCCCCTTCACTATTTCCCGGTAATGGAGGAGACGGGATGTTTGTTGGTCCAGATCACCCAATATTTGGTATGAGAGGTAATCGGGGACAGGAGATGCGAGGACCATGGGGTGGAGACGGCTATCTCCCTCCGATGGGAGCCCCACCGGGTGCTCGTTTTGATCCGATAGGACCAAATCCTGGCCCCTTTAACCCAAGTTTCAATGGGAGACCGCGGCGTGGCCCTCCAGGAAGCGGGAACTCAAGAGATCCTGATAATGACGAGTTTATGCCCCCTGGAGCCGTGAGTATGGACTGCAGTAAAACCATTGTAAATGCTTACCTTGAGACAGGGATATATGTTTATGTGAGAACGATGTGAAAAGCTGTAAATTTTGAATGACTGGTGCATTGTAATAACCATTGAGAGCAATAACTACGACCGCGAAAATATAAGCTGTATTTTGTATTGTCTTACTTAGCTAACGGCCGGTACAACGTTGTAGCCTGTGTATCACTGCGCGCTGGTAAACCCAAAACGGCAACGTGCTGGATTAAGCGGGCTATAAAGCCGGTCGCTCATAATAGCAGCAATAAGTATCACCCTCACTAGCACACCATGCCCCCCCTTCGCGCACACAGCCCTCAATCCCCCACATCTCCAATGCGTCCCAAGAAGACCGTCGTACTCCCAGGCTTTCGCGCACCTCCAAAGCCCAAGCCCAAATCCATCTCCCAAATGACTGTGCGAGAACTACATGACCAGCACGATCAGAATGCAAAACTGTTAAGCTCGTCGTACGTGGATTTTTTGCCCCCAGGTACTTCGCGATGATGGTAGCCTCCGTGGCTCCACTATTAACCTTGCGCACATTTCCTCTTAGATCAGCCTGTACGTCTGCCCTCGGACAACGCCTTTCGGCCGAGCAAGCATCCATCGAATCTCGCCTGCTCGAACTCGAGGGCATCGAAGAAATTCGCAGAGGTCTTAAGAAGACTAACATCAATGCTGACGAGATCATGATTGTCGACCAACCGCGCATGCCTCGTGTAATCGATGCTAAACATAGGGCTTTGTCCCGCTACGTAAGTATGATATTTGTATTATTTTCGATCGCTGATAAATCCTTGCGACACTCAAGGCACCCATCGCGCCAAATGGAGCTCAACAGGTCGGCTCGCTAAGTTTACAGGAAGCAGTAGAGCTGGAACAACGTGCCCATGCCCAAGACGCAGCAAGACAACAACGATTAGACGAACGTAAGAGGCGCATAGGGCTCCCGATCAGAGGTGAAGTTCTTTCCAGAGCAGAAATGGATGCACGGATGCGGGCCTTCATGTGAGCGTTTTATTGCTCACCAATCTTTACGCTAGTTTTAACTAAAGTGAACAGAAACTACAAGCCAACGGATTCTGACCTCGAAGATGATATGGATGAGGACGATGATGATGACGAAGACCCGTCAACATGGTTTGAAGACGACCAGGATGATGGTGTCAAAGGTCAAGACATTATCGAACCGGACTTCGAAGAGCTCTCTAGCATTATCCGAGTTGATGAGAGCAGAGCGCGGTACAGCACCTTCTTCGAACCTAGGGATGGTGATTGACATGCATAACATAATACCTATAATATGTGAGATATGCACTATTTTACTTGTAGTCGTATTATGTGACGTTAGTTGGAGAAAGTGTGCATGAGCATGCATATGATTCGAGAGTGTTGGAAAACCAAATAGCAAAACTGAAGATACCCTGTGCGTCTTTCGTCTACCGCGCGTGAATGGGGCAGCTTCTACCTCTCTTCAACCAAGAGGACAGACAAGCTAGATCAAGCATTGATTAGCATGGCTGTGCTTACTGAAGGCAAGTGCTCACGGACCATTGTGGAAACTACAGAAGCAGCTGAGCCTCGCTACAACTGCGCCTGCAATTACGACGTCAGATAGTTGACCCTCATGAGATATAAAAGGTCCATACCCTCTGTAAATTCCTCTAGGCAAATAACACCTGTGGAACCACAACTACTCGCATCATAGTCATACGAGCAATAAAACAAAACTTACATTCGACACCCAGAAGTGCGCTTTCGCCAGGTAACTTATAAACCAGATATTTAGCACTTTGAGGTGTCGTCTCAGCGTCTCCTTCTAGACAAATCCTCACGTGGGCTTCTTGTTCTGCCGGTTGTCCAAGATCTGCAAGGCTAGTGCTGCACACAGGGCACCTGGGATCGTCGCCATCATCACCAACAAGTTATAGTGTCACCAAGGACTCTGACTTACTCTGCAAGGTCGCTTAGTTGTGAACTAGACCCCTGCCTGTGGAGCTGTCCAGGAGTCATGAGTCTTCTTTGATCGACCACGATTCTTTCCATGGTGGACGAGGTGGAACCTGAGAATCTGGTGGGGAGACTGGCATTGATCTCATCATGACACCCTTGACAGACACGCTGAGTTGAAGAGGATGCCGCGGATTCCGGGAACACAGGGTCACGAACAATAACGGACGGATCGAGGAGTGCTCGATGAGAAGAGCAACGGTCACAAAAAATCCGACCACACTTGCGACAATGCTAACGAAAGATCAGACAATGAGAAGAATAGGTGGCGGTAGCGGTTAATCTTACATGCTGGGAAAGATCACAAATCAATCATTGGAACAAACCCGACGTAGTAGGACTTACTCTTCTTAAAAGAAATCCGAACCGCCGACGACAATCATTACAATTGGAAACCATATCATCTCTTTCCCATTGTGCATGGACTTGGTAAGGTGTCGGGGCAGTCCACCTGGGACTTAAAACTTTCTGAGGTGCTTCATGAGTGGGCACGCGGAAGTCAGGTGCTTGAGAGAGGTGAGGAGTCAAATCCGTAGGTGGACGAGAAACGGAAGTTGGGTGGACAGCCGCGCCTGGAGGCGTATAACCAGGATAACGGAACTCTTCATCATCGTCGTCGTCTTCCATATAATCGTCATCTGAGCCCGAGATAAGCCATCTTTGATTACCAGCTGCGAGTCGGCGACGCTCGAGCTCTCTGCTATAGGCATTGAGCAGGACTTCAGCCTGAGTTTTTCGTTCTGTATCACTATCGCCTTGGATAACATCTAATTAAATGATGCGTCAAGGGACTGCATTAAAAGGCTTACTAAGAATCCCCTGTCGCAATTCAGTAGTTGCACGCTCAAGTTTGGCAATAGCACGCCTTGCTTCGACGGCAGATAAAGTTTCCTCGGCGACGACAGCATCTCGTTGAGTTCCAACTAGATACCAAGCACGAGAGACATAATCCTGGGCCGATGACGGTCTTGTGGATGTCATCGCTCCGAGTTCTTGTCCTTCCCCTTCTCCAAAATCGCCCTGGTCGTCCTCAGTGAATGGGATGAGAGAGCCGTCAGATGCAAGATTATACATGACACCATCCGGCTCCTGGAATGGTAGAGGTGGGATGTCAAGCCTACGACGCATCACGCGGACCCAGCGTCTGCGTCTCACCCACGTCGGGGCGCGTGCGGCCGCGTGTACAGAAGTCACTGAGCTGCTGCTGCTTGTACGGCTGTGGCTTCTAGAAGGAGTGCCCAAGCTAGCTGTCATGAGTCCACTCCCGCTCAGTAAAGACTGGAGCTGAGGGGGCGGTTCGGCGGTCCAGGCTCCATCGGGCGAGGAAAAGTCCTGTGCATATTCCCAGGCTGCCTCCACATCAACACCAGGGTAGTCCAATGTCCAGTCAGATCTAAAAGACAGATTAGCAAGCAAGCTCGGTAAAAATAACTAGCTGGTCCTCACAGCCAGAAGTGACTTCTTTCAGAGTCCTCAGTGGCGTTCCTGGAGCTTGTTTCTGGTAATGTCCAAGGATCTTCGATGAGTGGAAGCAGGACGCCACTACGCCAGGCAGCAACTAGCGTGGCACCCGCGTCATTTGGGAAAGGCAGTTTCAACTCGAATAGTGCACGTCGACCCGGCCTCCCAAGGCCATAGTGCGACCATTTTGGCTTCCCACCAGACACTGCCAACGTTTTCAGTCGTACGTCCAGGCGCTGGTTCTCGTAAAGGATCAATGGGATGGTCGTGTGCACTGCGAGAGGGTTGTATGGGACAGTTGTTCCGCGCCATCGCTCTGCTTCTGACTTTTGCAGGATCTGGGGGATTTAAGGAAACGTTTGCCATAATTAAGAAAGTGGACACACCTCACAGATCCATATCTCGAACACTGCAGCAGCAGCGTCATATGCAGTCTCACCCCAAATATTCCGGACAAGAGGATTTGCTTCTTGCTTTGTAAGTAGATATATTACGATAGGCGAGTGTCCTTTTGATGCCGCATTCACTGGAAAAGCATTTGAGAGAATAGGGAACAAGAAAATTGAATGCGTACTCAGAGGAGTCCATCCACCTTTACTCCGAACGTCCACACTAGAAATACCTCCATGCTCGCATAACCACCTCACAATATCAAGATAGCCCTAAGATATAATAAGCGTAAGATGCTTGGCAGGAAACTCGACAGTGATGGTATCCGTAAGACATACTTTTGAACAGGCGTTGTGGAGAGCTGTCCAGCCATCAGCATCGCGAGCATTTACGTCTGCTCTATCCGGTAGTAAATATGTGATGATTGGTAGATGGCCATGAAGAGCGGCTTTGTGTAAAACAGTCTTGTGACCATATCAGGGTCAGTCTGTGTGAACTAAAGGTCTTCACCTACTTCTCCTTCGCGATCCTCTAGGTCTGGAATTGCACCACATTCTTCTACCACTGAGACGACAATTACTTAAGCGCATGTCCAGAGCAATGAAGTTATCGCTTACGCCACTTGACAATGTCTAAGTAACCTCGACTAGCTGCAGCATGCAAAACAGTGAAGCCTGTTCGAGGGGACGCGTCATTTGAGAGTGCAAAGGCCTCAACTTTACCGGTTTGCGAAGCTGTCTGAAAGAGCTTCTTCAAAAGAGGCAGGTCCCCAGAAGAAGCAGCTGCAGACAAAGCTTCCAACTGAGCAGGAGATGGATGAGGTTGGGTCACCGGTATAGCTGGCGAAGATACTGGAGATGCGATTATATCTACTTGCACCATGGGAAGTGAGACGGGTATATGTTCTTGCTCTGCTTCTGAAACTGGATCGGTAATAGAAGTCGCCACTGCTTCTGAGGAAAGCAGCTCTCCTCCACCAGCGACAGCGGCAGTCTCCTCTGTGGTACCAGGGTAAACAAATTCCTCCTCTTCCGAGTCTGATTCAGGGTATGTGAAACCTTCTTCGTCACTCTGGTCGGAAACATTGCTAGCAGTTCGGGACAACTGCGTATCAGACAAGCCAGACCTGATAATTGTTAATATTTAAGGACGCGTTCAAAGAGCCAAAAAGAAAATACGCACTCCTCGATAGTCCCTAAAAGAGGTTTTCCCAGCTCTGGAGTGGCCATGATGGATTGAACAAACGCGTTTATGCTCTCACACCCAACTAATGCCCAATGATCAAGTTTCCGACGGCACTGCGATGGGAATAAAGCACCATATTTGGGTGCAACTCAACAGGGAATTTTACGTGTCATTTACCAGATTTGAAACGCTTCTGGGTATATGTAATTCGGAACAAAAAAATTTCGTTGGTTCGCCAGTCCCCAACAACGTAATCATATGCAGTACATCGTGTGCACATACACCATGCAGCCATTCAAATGACTTCTTTTGAAACATAGTTGATCTGTACGAATATCTCTCATCTCTGCCAGCATGCGTTCCAGATGGGCCAATATGTCCTTGACAGAGCACGAGACAGATCAGCACGCCAATTGAAATTGTGGGCGAGGACAACCCTATCCGAGCTCAAGAACGGACAAACGCTCGCTATAGGTAGTGCGCGTTTGTCGGATGTGATTAGCACATCACCAAAACTGCCCAAATGTCACAACAGGTAACATTAGGTAACACTACCTTATCTGGAATTTTTCCCATGTTATGGCCCCATATATGCGTGTGTCATATGAGCCAGGCACATTATACAGCCTCCCCACAATGGCATCACAGTAAATGCAGCTCAACCATGGTGGCAGCAAGATTATATTGTAGATGTAAGGTGATAGCGACATTATATGGTAGTGATAATTATTACATGTAGCTCATTATAGTTTTGTACCAGCACTGACTAACATGATGAAATTTGTCACAGGGTTGTAATGGGCAGAACCTGAATGAACTTTCTGTTTCAATCAGGACTAGAGATTCTCAGAGGGCTCGTTCCGCTCTACCCATGGGCTACTACACCAAGGTATAAACACCAAACAAGTACAAATGCACGACTTAGGCATTTTTGACACATTCCTGTGAGTCCTCTGCTTTATCTCAACATCGTTTCAACAATGGTTCCAGGCCCCATCTTACACCAAATGTTTCTCCTTCTTGTATATACTTGTGTCTTGTATCTTTTTCTCTTCATTCACAATTCCCTGTTGAACTCACACCTAGCCTTACAGCACACATGCGCATATATGCATGGAAAACTCATCTGTAAGCTGTCCTTGACATCGTCTGTCCTGCAGGTATTGAGAATGACTCTAGGCTGTGTGATCCATCTTCTAAAGTACGGGTCAGTGTGTATGCCTCATTTGAGTTAGGTCTCATGGTCTGTCATGGAGAACTCCTCCACACATTCAAGATCTCCATCAGAGAACTACTGGATCACAGTGAAAACTTAAAGACGGACAACGGACATCACTCAAGCCTCACTGACCGAACACGTCGCTGATCCTTTTGACAGGATGTGAGTTTGTTGATCCTCTGTTGAGCTCAAGCCTTGCCGACCGAAGACGTCGCTGATCTGTGAACTCAGAATCACAAAGACAAACATGGCTCAGTCGTATCATTCCTTCACAAGAAGACCCAGAAAAGCTAGAACAAAAACAACCAGCTCATCCAATCATGTTGTATGCTCCCCTATACAATGGTCTTTGTGCCGCACTCACTTTCAGTCAGTCACAATACTCTTTTTTGTTTTCTTTGCCTCACTTTCTCTAGTCTTTATCGGCAATGGTGTCTGCACTCTCCTTTCAGAATTTCGCCTAGATGACAACTACACTTATTTTGCTCTCAGTGCTCCCTTGCCTCTTCTTTTCTGTGTATCCTTGGTAACTATGTCCTTTTATATCTTATATATCTTATACACCAGCTTACTCTTTCCAGTTCTTCACTCTTACAATATTCCAAACTATCACATTCACAGTCGGGCCCATTGCTCATTACCACCAAAACAGTCGTTACTACTCTGCGATCCCACCACTTCCAAACCCTGTCATCGACAATGCACTCCCTCACACATCACAATCCAAATGCCCGTCTACAAAGAAAGCCTTGCTATAGTCCTGTAAGTCTCCTCCTTGCTCCCTAATCCTCACTAAACCATCCTAGCACACCCTCCCTCACATCCATCAAAGCAGCAATGCAAACATACGCACGTCAGGGCAGCACATCCAGCCTTTTCATCAATGATGATGGCCTCCGTCTCCTCCCACCATACCAGGCAAAAGAGCATATCGAGTACTATGCAAATCATGGGATCGGTTGGATCACAAGACCACAACACAGACACCAAGGTTACTCCTCCCTCTAGCCATTTAATACTAACACAACACACACAGGCTTCATACATGCAGGCCGCTTCAAAAAGGCCCTCAACATGAACTATGCAATCAACGTCTCCCTCTGTCTCGAATGCATCCTCGAGGAACTCCAATCATCCCGCAGCTCCCGCCGTTTCACCATGCCAGCGTGTTAGTTCACCCTGTTCGTGTTGCTCTTGAGCAGTACATGGTGTCTCATACCTGCACGCTCCCCTACCCCTGCTTCACTGGCACCTCGTACAAGCACAAAGACATCACCATGCACGTTGATGATTTGTTTAATGATGATGATCCTTTGACGGAAGAAGAGCAAGAAGTCCCTCAGCCAGTCAAATGCACATGAAAGGGCGGTGCTACGAAACCCAAGAAGGCTTCGACTAAGCGCAAGTCCAGGAAATGATTATTCAAGGTAAGTCACAACAGTTTTGTAGTTGGCATGATTCTAATGACTTTTGCTTGTTTGTATCTAGTATCACACTACTGCTTCATTTTATTTCATCTCCATTCACATGCTCATTACAATAATCATCTGCCACTGTACACTTTCACAGACTTACAATACTCGCATGGACCCACAGCTGCTCGTATATTTCTTTTTTTCATTCTGCCGCACTCAATGATGTCACCTGTATGCTCTGTTTTTGTTTCCAACTTTGCACTCATGTCCAGTCGATTGGTACACTGTTGCCACGTTAATACTACATTATAATGTTAATATACTACATGTATTTGAATAGCGCAATGATATGTTGTTATAATCAGATATCAGCATGATTGTGTGATATAATGCAATGTCATATGGTAGCGATCTGGAACATGTATTCACACATATCACAACTCTGGAACATTCCTCTGACTATATCATAAAAATTGTTTCCTTGTATTCTCATATATCTGACACCCAATTGTAGACAGTCGTCACAGTCCATACAGTGTGTCACAGCCGTTACAGGTGTATATATAGTTAGGTATAGGATGAGCAATTTTGGTGATGTGGATAACGTGACGTACAGGGCAACTTCGCCATGTGAAGGGGTGGACCATTTTTGGTCTCATGTGACACCAAAATGGTCGTGCACGTGAAGGACCATTTGGCAACCAATTCGAAAATCACGTGATATTTGTTGAAAAAATGGAGGAAGGAGGACACAACACTAGCTATCATGCGGAACAGGGAGAGAACAGTGCGAAGTGGAGGACGGGGACAGATGGAGGCGAGAAGAAGTCAATGTATGTACAAAATGTGGACATTAGGGTAGTGAAAAACGCTAAGAAAAATGAGGATGAGACAAGTGTCAATAGCATGAATTGGAATGAAGGTTCTTAAAAAAATACTACGAGGTGGCCCAGTGCTCCTGGGGATACTCGACGCGAAGGTGCTTGACACCATTGTGCACAGTGAGCAGTGCATCCAGTGTCGTTCCATCAATCTCGAGCTCCTCATACAACTTAAACAACACAGTCCTTGATTCGAGTGTCGTTGATCGGTCCAGCAGCATGGTCGCAAATGCCTCCTGTTCGAGGGCAGGGCTTTCACCAGAAGGCCGTAGGAACACTTGCTCATAGATTTGCTTGACAGTTTTGAGGAAGGCGCATGGATGGAAGTGCTTGCCTTCAGAGAATATGCCTGGTGGCTGTGGCCAGGGTGGAGGCGGCTCGTTTTTGGACACCTGCTTGGTGCCATCAGCACAGAAACCCCGTCAATGGTTGTACCCCGAGTTCTCAGGACCGGGGTACATGATGGTCTTGCAGTGGGAGCATGTGTGTGCCTTGCGAATCTGGGAAGCAAGGGTAGATACTAGAGAGTGAGCAAACACAAAATTTTTCAAGAAAGCAATGCGCACCTTCTTCCCAGGCTCAGCCTTGACGAGCTCAATAGCTTGACAGTCCCTTCTCCAGAAGGTTTCTGAACCAGAACATGCTGTATTGTACAAGTAGTTAGCACATAAAAAATGCCCACTGTGTGAAGCAGTTGAACTCACATTTGAAGTCACTCTTTGCCACACAGTTCATCACAGCCACCTCTATCTCACCAAGCTTTCAGAGAAGGGCCTGAGGGTTCTTCTTCACTGTTTCGAGCCCATTAGCACGATTCTTCTCCTCGAGACGGTTATTGTAGGTCTCAGTAGCTACAGCCCTCTGTTTGGGCATCATCTTGAAGGAGATCTATGCAAACTCAGCTCACATGTCCATGAACAAGTGGAACTCGGTATTGCCAGAGATTTGCATGGCGCGGGCATCAATTCTTGTTGCAATGGTGAAGAAGTGTTGAGAACGGGTCATCCCTGGGGGCCTCAGAATGGGTGCGAGAGCGGTAGTACCAGCAGGACTGATCACTGCAACTGGGTTTGGGGGAGTGGAGCTGGGTATGACTGCAGGAAGTTGACACTGAGTGCTGGCGCTGGCATCTGATGGTTGTCGTGAGAGAACTTTGCAGTATGGCAGCTGGCTTCTTGGTTTGAGGTAGTGGTCCAGTGTGACTGGAGAAATCCCCTGCAATGTGGATCAGAGGTAGGTATAATGGAAGGGAGAATGGGAGGAAAATGAAGTTTTTCATACAAGGCCATGAATTTTTCATAAGATGAGTTGTTGGTAGAAGAGGAAGAGGGAGGTAGGTATCAATAGGAGGGAGAATGGGAGTAAAATGAAGTTTTTCATACGAAGCTGTGTATTTTTCGTAAGACAAGTTGTTGGTAGAAGAGGAAGAGGGAGGTAGAGGCCATGTATTTTTGTAAGATGAGTCGTTGGTAGAAGAGGGAAGTAGGTATCAGTAGAAGGGAGAATGCAAGGAAAATGAAGTTTTTCATATGAAGCCGTGTATTTTTTGTAAGACGAGTCATTGGTAGAAGGAGGATTGTTGAAGAGGAAGAGTGGGCTTACCTGAGTTGACAGTGATGTAGTGACTTCTGGAGTATCACCACCAGTAGTGGTGGTCATATGCCACATGATTTTGCGGGGTGGCTTGCATGCTGCTGCCCTGGGTTGGCCAGCATCTTCAGACTCATTTTCTGAGATGACGATGATGTCATCTGCCTTGCACTTCATTGTCGGTTGTAGCTGAGCGTTTGCTGTGATGACGGCCAAATGAGACTGGGCCTTGCTAGTGTCAGCAACTTCTGCCACTGTGGCTGTGGGGATTGCGGTAGTTGCAGGAGGGCAGGACAGTGACAGCGGCTGTGCATCAAAGGGCACCTGAGGTTGGGAAAAAAGCTGTGGGTCAATGTCAAGTTCCTCAAGTATATTGAACCTCGCAGACTGCAGGGCAAGGTCAAGTGCATTGCCTTCACCACTGAGTGCCTCAAGCAACTTTGGGCTGGTCATATCGAGCTCCACTGGTGACTCTTCAGCCTTGACATCCAGTAGCCCACCAAATGTAGACACAAAACTTGATTCAACAAGCCCAAAATGTTCCTTGGACAGGGTTTCAATGAGCTCTGGCAGGCAACATGTGCTGGTGGCCTTTTCTTCAAGCCGGAGGTAGTTGAATTGCTTCACGATCCTGTTGACGAGGTGAACATGATGAGAGCCATGAGTTGACGCAATGAAGTCCGATTTTCTCACCCTTGAAAAGGCAACACAAATGTTTCGTTGAAGAACAAAGTCGTGGCAAAGGCCTGTGAAGGTTACAATACTGCTCATGTGTGCACACTGGAGTGAGTTCTAGCCTTTGTGAGACCCCTCCACACGGCTTCCATCTGTTTGTATGTCCTGCTGCTGATGTTCAAGGCAGCCTTTCCATACATGTTTGAGCTGTTCCTCATGAACCTGACATTGATGTTAGCGTGAAACAGTATTTCATGGGACAAGTACTCACTCTATGTGCCCCTGCTGACCAAACTGTGCCTTCGCATGCCCATCTCTCGAACGTTGAGGTGAGTCTTGTCTCCTGCTCTGTTCTGTCCCAGTACTTCGCAGGATTCCCACCTTCAGCATGTGTCTGCAGGATACAGGCTGAGATTTCTGTGACTACCTCTTTCCGGTGGGGATTCTTGGAGGGATTAAGGATTACAGTTGCATACCTTGCTTAGAATTAGCTTGTAGATTGTTAGAGGCAAAGGAAAATGTACTTGCCTCATAATGAAATGCCAGACATCAAGCTTCATGGTAGCATCCGGGAAGACAACATTCACAGCACTGCAGACATGGCAGCAGTTGTCGGTGACAAATACTCCAGGTGGAGGGACATCAAGAGCCTCACATCATATCTTGAGGCCTTCAAGGAGCTCACTTATTTCGGCATTTGACTGGCCATGACAGAAGCACTAATGTAGTAATCCGAGTCAGCTGTATTAGTTTAGGTTTGCGAAAGATGACTTACCCAGCCCACAATCTCATTATTCTCGTTCATCAGACTTATAATCCCTTCCTTCAGGACCTTCGACTTCTGTTTTTCTCAGTTAGTTATGGTTGCCTTCATAGCAGCACAGAATGTGTTGTTGAACGAAATGCTTATGCCTGCTCAGCACACAAGGTGAGTGTCAAGTGCTGATAGCGGAGAAATTTCTCACCAGAGAGAGAGCAAAGATATTCCTCTGACTCCCTTTCCCGCATTGCTGACACAAACTTCTGGAAGATCTCGCTGACCATGTCATGCGAGATTGGCCTTGCATTGTACTCCTTTATGTCATAAGGATCTGAGAATGCCCGAAGTGGATTCGGGCTAAAGAAATCCATCCCATGTCGTGTTGTTTGACGTGCTTTCCAAGCTTTAAGGTATTCCAGCTTCCGCCTGTTGTACTCAAGTAAATGAAGTTCTTTGAAGGTGTGTTAGACTAGTGTTTGAGAAGTAGATAGTGCCACTCACATCGGATGTTTTCAGCAAGAGTTCCCGTCGTAGATGATGGGCGCAACTCGATGACTAGGTCGAACAGCTCACAAGTAACAGCGCATCTGTAGAAAAATATTGGTACATCTGCTGCCAGTGAATGTAACTCAGCCACTGAACATCAATCACCAGCCAAAATTCATCAACTTACCCAGAATGGACCAGTGGGACCAATTGCACCAGAAGTCTGGGTTTGTCGTTATGAAGCAGTGTCCCTTGAGGTTCGTCTTTCAGTTGTTCAAGTTGTTATGCTCACACTTGCTTTCTAGACCCTTCTTACTTGTTGGATCATTCCTGCAACTCTCGCAGTGGAGCTGTGCATAGGGATCTGCACGGGTAAACCCTGGGGTGTCGGAGACGTCACCCGCACCCGCACCCCAAGGTATACCCATACCCCAACAAGGGGTGTGGGTTTTGCAGTGGGTACAAGTAAAAGGTACCTGGACCCGGACCCTTCAAGGGTGCACCCGCAGGTCCAGAGTAAAATGCATTATACCTTACTTTACAAAACATGTGTAGTAGCTACTGAAACATGATGTCAATCCGGTCCCAACCATCCTCGAGCTCTTCCTCCTCCCCTTTGACATCAGACATATTGCTAACCTTTATAACATCCTTGGTCTTCACAAGATTGAGGCTGCTCCAGGAGCCGAGGCATAGCAGTGCACAAGTTGATTGGGCTGATAGACATGAACGGACATGCAAGAGTAAGAGATGTCCATGGCTAAATAGCCATTCGATGTCAACAGACGTGGCTGTTGGTAATTAGTTAGCTATTTGTTAGTAATTACGATGCAGAATAAAGCTTACCAGGGATGGTCAAATAATCGAGTGCCATTTGAGACAATTGTGGGTAAGATGAACGGTGTGCGTGCCACCAAGCTACTGCATCAGTGACATTCTCAATGTCTGTGCCAAGGTATTGGTCTAACTCGTTGCGTAGGTCTGTTGCCTTGGGAGGTGCGAGTGCCGGCAAAGAGTCGAAAATGTTTGTGCTCTTATATATTGTTGAGTGACTGAAACAACGAATAAAAAAACATACTGAGATGTGTGGACCATCCTCTGCAGACACCATCTCAACATTGTCTCCTTCGACATCTGAATCACAGTAGGCATGCGCGAATTCAGTCACGTACAAGCGTCTTGGCAGTGTTGATCCAGTCGTCCTCCCATCGAGCTGTCTTGAAGTAAGCTAGTTTATGGCGAGGGTGTAGTACTGTAGTTCAAGTTATATCAAACATTAGTTAGCAATGATGATGAGGCCAAACAAAACAAAAAAAACATACCCATTGTGATGTGATACACTTCAGAGCGATCAGTAAGTTCATAGTACCTGTTTAATGTTTCCTTGGCCAAGTGAACTGCAGCACAAATAGCTGGCGAGTATTTTTTGTTGTGGGAGTATGAACATCAATTTCTCGTCTATGAGATCCATGGCAGGAATGACAGTGGCAAGGTTGGGTGTAGCGCAGGAGAAGAACAATGTTGTATCCTTCAGAATCTTAGGTAATACATTAGCGCAGTAGTTGTGGTTTGCTTGGACATACCTTGAGAATATCCTGAAGCTGTGCGATAATGTCCCACTCATGATCACCCAACTCAAACTTCCGGAGACCCAACACACGCCTCTGTGTTACTGTATCAACGGCTATCTGATGCTTGAGTGCATACTCGAGCATATCCAAGGTGGAGTTCCAGCGAGTCAACACGTCACGTGGCATCAGCGTGACTTGGAACTTCATGTCTTCGAGGATCTCACACCAGGCCGGAAGAATAACAGTTGTCGAATGGATGATCTTGTGTGTGAGTTTGCGCACCTAGGAGACCATGTTAGCTTGAAGGTATGTGTTTTTTTTTTACTTACCTTTACAAGTGCCAACTTAACTGGAAGAATGCTTGCTTCCAGCGCGAATCGCTCATCATCGGCCAGCTCCTCCATTTCATTCACCCAACCATCATCATTGTCTTTAAGCTCATCATCCTCTGCAATCATCTCTGCATCCTCCCTATCGATTTCTTCACTCAGCTCATCAAGTTCCACCTGTATGCTGTCGTCGTTGTCATTGGTGGCTGTTGCCGAGTCCAAGGCTATGTCAGCATGCTTCTTCGTCACATCGAACTCGCGAATCAACGATTTCGCAATGAGGTTTACGGTGTGCAGGAAACAGCAAGTGTGACTTGCTGTCCCTCCGAATGCAGGTACACTAGCCGCAAGTTTATCCACCATAACATTGTTATTCAATGCGTTATCGCATGTCACGCTCAAGATCTGGACCAATCATGTAAGTTACTGCATGTTTGTCTTTAAAATTTACCTTTTCTGAAATACAAAATTCTTTTAGCATCTCCACAAACACATTGGCCAACTCCTTGCCAGTGTGTGACTATCACAACATTAGCAGCCGCGCATTTATTAAGGTAAGAGATTTACCTTTGCAACTTCAATTATGTCTAACAGTAGGCTTAGCGGAACACCATTATGCTCGAGGTGTACCGAGAATGCAACAAATGCTCAGTGGTTTGGTGAGCTCCATCCATCTGTTGTGAAGTTAATTTTGCTGTTATATTCCTAGTAAGTTTTTTCAATCTGAATTTCCAGCATATGTTTTGAACTGACTTGTAACATTTTAGTGACTCGTTGGCAAGTCTTTGCAAAGATGAGCCAAACATCACACGAGACTGTAGATGGCGAAGGTAAGTAGTATTCGGGCCTTCCCATTTTCATTAACGATTGGAATCCTCGGTCCTTAACAACTTCGAATGGACTGCAGGCTTTCCGATACCCACCACACAATTCCTGCCCTGGAACAAGATGGCTTCAGCCCCAACATCAATGATAATGCGAAGATCTCACTTCATTTCTGCCTGTGTGTGCTGGCGGTGCGAGTAAGTCACTTTACCTTTACCTTTTCGTTCAAATGATGCAGTAATTGTTCCGTTCTTCAGAAAACTTCCGACAATCCTTGTACGGACTTCGTTGGCGTCCTTGGCCTCATCAGCCGCACTCAATATCTCTTCGCCCCAACAAGACTTTATATGTTTGCGCATATTGCCAGTGGAGTGCGCGTCTTTTTTGTCCAGGAAGCGGTGGATGCTTGCCTTGCATGCTTTCGCGCAACATTTGAACTCATGTGCTCGTCGTCCATCAATCTCAATGATGCGGGGAGTGGGTTCAAAAAATGCATAGACCGGTGAGACCCATTCATCCATGAGCTGTTCTGTTGTAATTCTAATTAGTTGCATTTTTTCGTGTATTAGGAACATACTTCGTTCATCCTCAGCACTCTTTGGACCCGAACTTTGGTTATCATTTTTATTTTCGCTTTTTTCATGCTTGTTGTCAACAATAATTGGGTCGTTGTGTAGCAATGCCTCCTCTTCCTCAGTCCGAACCACAGCACGACAATTCTTGCAAGGTGCAGGACCTGTTCCCACGTCAGGTGGAGATGACGAGGCCTCGGCAGAGACTGGTCTATCTTTGGGTGTACCAGTTGGAGGGGTTGGTTTTGCCTTCTTAGGGTTGCTTGAGACTGCGCTTGCACCCTTGGCGGCATCAATTTTCTGCTTCTTTGATGGGGCAGCTGCTTCGAGTTTGTCTTCGATTGCTGCTTTGGCCTTGTCCGTCAGCTTGGTGACCCGTTTTGCAGCTGCAGTAAATATATTTGGCTGCATGGTTGGTTGTAGAGTTGGGCAGGTGTTATTGTGATGATTAGTTAGTTCAGAGTTTGACACTTGTGGCTTTCTTAAGGTTTTTTTGTGTACTATTCATGTTGCGGAGTTCTCAATTAAGTAGTCTCATATTATCATTTTGACGGTTCAACCCGAGAAAGGGTGTGGGTGAGGGTACGGGTACCCCAAAGGCAGACCCCTACCCATACCTGACCTTGAACTTTGACACGCACTACTAGTGTCTGTCTCGTACCCACATAATCATAACTATATTGTTTGTGCCAAATTGCCAGTTGCAAGAAATTTGTTATCAATCCTGATTGGTGGGAACAAACAAATTGAATTCAAACTAGTTACAAAACTAATTGTACTGCCGTATAGCTAATACTCAATGTCACCTGTACATCCTCAAAATGTCTCTTCTTCCTCCAAGGCTCCT